TAGTACACAGGGGAAGTCCGGTGTGAAAGGCCACTCTGTGTTCCAGCGAGATTATACATCAGCTCTGCCAGTGGATGAATAACACATCCTTCTCAGCGGCCTCAGAGGCAACAGCTATCTCCTCCGATCTCCTCCTATACATATCATATTTAAGCACGAGGAGACATTTACACATTTGATCCTCCCCAAAGAGACTTGAGTATTTAACAGAATTGTTTTTAAAAACTTCATTTTTTAAAAACAAAATATTTGAACGTGACAGTGTGAGAAAAGAGGACGTCACATAAAAATGTTTTTATTTGCAGTCAGGACAACAAGAATTGTTCCCGAGGAAGTGTCCAGGCAGCTCTGTCCGGGAAATTCAGCAATTCATCTTCAACATCAAAGCGGAAACAGGCCTACTGCACAGGGTCATCTTTTAATAAACAGGCTCCACTCCCACCTATAGAACAGCATATGTTCTATAAAGTATAATATTTACTGTACAGATAACTTTGATTTTTCAAATATTAACTTTGTCAAGCCGATCTCTCGTGCGATTATTTCAGAAATGTGTGTCAATAATTTCATCTGTAGGGTAGTTCAATACACGGCATCAAATGTAATAGTTCAGTGTGGAAAATTTGACAGAGTACAAAGTAGTTCAGTTTCTTTTTCCATAACATAATTTTTGTTATTAGTAAGCCACTTATCTTTTGTCCTTTGTGAACTCTTCCAAAGGAGAGAAGACACTTTCATTATTTAACGTAGATACTTATTCATGTCTGAGGAATTTAGTTTGTAATCTGGACAAATTCTCAACTACTACTACATAAGCCAATGCTGATTGATGCGTATCAGATATCATAGTGAAGAAAACAATTTCACAATTTCCACTCCCCTGCTTTCAAAAAATTCTTTGGCTATGTTTTTGTGCTGGTGTTGCAGGTATACCAGCAAGACTAGCACAAAAACACAGCAAAACCAGCATATGCTGTGAGGACCTATGCTAGTCTATGCTGGGCGTTTCATGTCGATAGACAGGTCGGTGTCCTCTCAGGCTCTTCCTAAAGCATCTCATCATGGTTTCAACCATGCAATGAAGCTGTAATAAATACTCCCTAATGACATTACATAAGCGCTCAGCCTACCAGCTGTGGATCAGAGTTAAGCTCAATTTGCTTCAGGCTTGTGCCTGAACTCTGTAATTTTGTGTTTTTCAAGAATTTCATACATCAACTGTAATTTGTTTCAAATGATTCCAGGCTTTTTTGTGCTAAATACACAGACTTTGCTGTTTTTCCGACACTTACACTTTAAATATGCCAAAAATAAGACACCGAGTGTAAACCAGTGATGCAAGTTTCCACTCCCCCTTCTGGAAACTGATTAGGAATCAGGTTTGTTTTCTTTAGTCTGTGAAAAAAAAAGGAATGAAAAGGTGGAATTTTGATTTATGCTACTGATGACAAAGCAAAGACATAGTCAAATCCTTAATCCTAATCCACGGAGATAAACTACGGTTGCGGCCAGCGACAGATGTACAGCTGAGACTGTTACAAAATCAGAGATTCAGTCTCACACAGATAATCATCGGGTCTTATTTTGTCATGCCAACATCATCCTTCAGCATTTGGGTTGAATGTGAACATTGATGCTGACAAATACCCAGATAGTACAGACATTTTACTGCACATTGTTGATTTAAAATTAAAAACATCGCAATCACCTATTTTGGATGAAAGGCAATCAAGATCAAATAGGACTCAACCAGTATGAAACTGGGCAAAGAGGTTTATTGATTCGGTTCCGCAAATAGAATGGTGGCATCCGTAAACCTCTGTATGCCTTCTGGGAAAAGGCCCAGGCCAGTGCACTTAATTGATCAGTGTGTTGATAGTTACGATGGAGAGAGAGAAAGGTTACACCTTTGGAAAAAGTCACATGTGGGTGTGAGATGTCAAAAGCTCCACAATGCATTAAGGTTGAAGCAAATGCATGCTCCACTGAACTTTGTGGTCACCCAGGAAACTGTAGCGACAGGAAGAGCAATAGACAAGTGGGTACTGAACGCACGGAATACGGTTCCATTTGTAGCTGGAATCACTCCAAGGTTTCATGTCACTTCACAGTGACCTGTGCGTAAAATTGTCTCGGGTCATGTTTTAGGTCACCCCGCTGAAAAGAGCCAACTTGAATCCCAAGGCTCCATCGCCGTAGGACACATGAACGTCAATGACTACTCAAAACCATAGACTGTACACTGCTACTGTAGCAGTACACTCGCCTGACTTGTGTGCAGGCAGCGTGGGATCGGTTCCCACCTAATGATGGTGTGGATGTGGGTGTGAATTGTTGTTTGTCTCCATATGTGCCCTGCGACTAACTAGCGACCAGTTCAGAGTGTAGTCTGCCTTCTGCCTGACGTTATTACCTTTTTCCCCTGACTGTTCGGGATAAGCGTTGTTGAAAATGGATGGATAGATATATTATCACATATTATTATATCTAATATCACAATATTGTGGGGAGGTTGGTGATATAAAAAAGCTCAACATACTGTATAGAAACGCATAATATTGTTTTTAAAAAAAATGCAACAATATCACTGTTATCGTTACATTCAATTGGTAAGTTATTACATGATACGGAATGGCAAAATCACAACTTTTAAGGAGATTGGTAGGTATATGTCATCATGATTCAAGTAATGACTGTGACATTTGTCATAAGTGGCATTCTTGTTACCAATTTGTTGATTATTGAGTGTCTGGAATATTTTGGTTGTCTGTTGTTTGTTTTTTCTTATTCATGCCTTGGAGCAATCAAGGGAAAAATAGGTTCAGTTTTCCCATCCCTTCATTGCAACCTTGCAGACAGGTGAAAGTGAATTTTGTGTCCATCTAAGCTAGCCAAAGTAGCATGCCGGTTGGCATTGGAAGTGCAAAACAGGTGCCAAGGGATATTCCAAGTTACATTTGTGAAGGTATAACTCATGAAATGTCAGCAGTCTACTGCTGAAGTACCATCAGAACAATGGAAACACTGAGTGGCTTCAGTGGTTCATTGTGAATTCCTTTAACAATGCAAAAAAAAAAAAATCAATCAGTCAAGATCCCATATACTACGAAAGCCAACTACCAGCATTACCGTATTGTGATTACACCCGTTATGTTACTTAAATCATCCTGTGAGACATGACAATATTTTTCCACGGTTTGAGAAGACATTAAGGACCAACTGTTTTTATAAGCTGTGCAATCCATGCCAAGAGAAGTCAAATTGAATCTTACAGAAACTAATTGGGGTGTACCTGTAACTGGAGGATATGTAGCTGCAATAGTCCCCAATGTGTTGTGGTAAACTGTTAAAACGTTAGCCAAAACATCAGTACGTACGACTTTGAGCCACACGGCCCGTGGAAGCAGTGAGGGCCGCTCATCTGCTGTTTAGGCCAGCCTAAAATTAGTGCCAGTCAGTCAGTGAACAGTATCGGTTAGAACTCGACCGCCCAGCCCAGCGCACCTACTAATCAGTGTGTAGAAATAGCTCAGAGTGGTGAGACCACTGCATGAAATGTGCTTCATAAGAGAAATAATCAAAGCCCAGTAGTTCCGATCTAAAAAAACATAGAAAAACATACGGTGGGAACACACTGAATTTTTTTTTTTTTTTGCCAAAGTAAATTAATTACCCTTAAAGGTCAACTTTGTAACTTTATTCGTAACTTTAAATCCCAAAGGAAATATTTTTATGTCACAAGTGATGAAACAAAATAAATTAAATAAAGCATGAAAAAAATCATTCCTATTTCATAAAGAAAATTTTTTCCCCGAAGTGAGATCCTGACGAGCGACAAACCCAGAAGTGTGACGTCACATCAAGACAACAATAGCGGGACTCACTGTGAAAAGTGTACAAAGCCAGTCAGAAATCCATTCAGAAAGCGACGTTTCAAACTGATTTGAGGGGATCCAGGTGTTTGAAGAGTTGGAGGAAGAGGAGGTTGTGGGCAAGATGCATGTTGGACCATGCATGTACGAGGCAGATGCTCAAGATGTGGAAACTGTGTCTGAACGGCCGCACAAGGAGTGGAGACGAGACCCATCGGGATTGGAAGCATGGTAAGCTATATAGCAGGGGTGGCCAACCCGCGGCTTGAGAGCCGCATGCGGCTCTTTGGCTGGTTCAGTGCGGCTCTTGGGCTTTCACACGACAAGCGTGGAAAGCGCCTCGGCGGTGGCAATGCCATTCAAACTACGGCGCTAAATACACGGAACGTACTACGTCAGCCTATCATCAATCCTGTTACGTGACTGACATAGAGGGCAACCAATCAGATGACTGAATCACCGCTCATGCGCAAACAACGGCGCTAAGCGCTAAGATAGTGCCAACAATTAAAATTCACTATATTAAAAAAGGATTATCAAACAACCCGACATGGTAAATGAATCACAAAAGTAGATCTAACCATGTTATTGAGCCTTAGCAGCATAACATACTTTCAGGTGGCATGCAGGGTGCTGCAATCACTAAATAATGAAAAAGCAATGGGGGGGGGGTAGATCAAGGGATCTCGTTAATTTATGTCAAGTGTGGGCATGTGAAGTCCTTTGAGACTCTTTTGTGATTAAGGGCTAAATAAATAAACGTGACTTGACTACTGCAAGTATGCCGTCAGTTCCGTTTGTGAGTTGTGAACAAATTAAGCGTTTGCCTTGACATGTTTCTCAGGCATTTGTTTTCCCATTCCCTCACACCGAACAGCCTCATATTGGTCTAAAACAAACTGTGTTGACTAGTAATACAACAAGCTCCACAGGTCAGGCTGTCGTGAGAGAGGTGAACTCCTACCACACTTAACATTTCATTATCCCCCCCCACCCCTACACACACACACACACACACACACACACACACACACACACACACACACACACACACACACACACACACACACACACACACACTGCGAGCAGCTGAGACATTCCATTAGCACTTGCCTGCCAGCCCACAGCACAGAGGGCCCTTTGAGTGTGACCAAGGAGCAGAGCTGAGACTGAAGGACCACAGGCGCTGAGGCTGAGCACGAGGGAGGAACACTGAGCCAGGGGACTCAGGTCCACAAGCTCATAAACATGCCCAAGATATTTTCCAATCATCTCCGGTAAAGTGTTTGAGTAAACAAGCAAACTGGGTGAGCTAGCTAGGACTGAGTCCAACCTGTCTTTGGTCTTTTCAACAAAGTGTTTTTTTTTTCTTTTCTGTTCCCAGATAAGGTGGCACAAGGAGGCCATTCATGGACTTTTTTTTTCCTGTGAGAGCAGCTGGCGATGCCGGACCTGCTGTCACGATGCCCTGCCAGCTTTTGACCACTGTGTACTGTACGCTGCACAGAGGAACAGGTGTATCTTACTTACACACAGAGGCAGGACTACCTTACCATGACTGCGACCAGCACTTCCTCCGGTGGGCCAACGTTTATTCAAGGAAAGGGAAAGGCTGCATTCTTTAGCTTCCGTGACCACTTCACTTAAGGTGCTGGTATCCTAGTACAATGACGGGTCTATCTGGGCTACTTTGAGGAACCTCAAATATTAATGACCCTGCATTTGACTAGAAAGAAGGACTCGGTCTAAAACTGGAGGATGCAGCAAATAGTGCCACCCTCTTGACCAGCTTGCGCAAAGAACGGCCCGAGGGCGATATCCCTCCTCTCCCTACAATCTTAGACTGGTACTCACAGTGACCATGACGTCAAAATAAAACAGGAAATATGGGGTGTTTTTATTTTATGTGCACTTGTGGACGTTGGTACAAGGGAGGTGGTGAGCGAGAGCTACAGCTCGTGTCTGCGGTGTTGCCAATTTTGTGACATTTTCATTTTTTTCAATACTGTATGCAAATAAACACTTTTATAGACCGTATGTATTGACGGTATTGTAAGTCATCACCGTAGTATTATATGTCACTGTTGATAATCTTATACTTCATGCTTACTGATCAAGTCAAGTACAACTTTATTGTCAAATGTGCTGTATGTGCAACATATGTGCAACATACAGCACAGATGAAATTTCTTCCCTCTCAAGACAACATGCAACAAGAGGAGCCGCTGCGGGTGCCCGCGCCGCCATCAAAAGAAAAGTTAACATAAAATGACAAAATAATACAAGACAACACATAAGACACAGACAATCGTGCAATCTGAACCACTTTTCTGCATACACTTTGTTGTTTGAGGCAGTTATAGATGAAAGAGGAGCGAATCAAAAGTGTCCTTTTCACCAGTGGATCAAAGACGTCATGCTGAAATGTGCACACGTCTGCTACAAGCTAAGTTGAAAGCAACAAGAAGCTGTAGCATCCATTAACGAAAAAGAGATTGGCTCTCTTCTCCTGTCCCATGCAAATCCGCTTCAATTCCAAGCAGTGACTCCCAGTTCCACATCCGCATCGGCGCTCTGCCCTGACGCTATATTTGGAAGTCCTGACGTACAAAGGAACGGCTAATACAAGTTGGCAGCTGGTGCGCAAAATTAAAGTTTTGAACGTGTATTTTGAGATGTAGATTGTAGAAGATGTAATTTTAATGGCCGCTTGTAAATTTGTTTAATTTTTAAAATTTGCATTGCCTAATGATAAGAATAAACACCACATCTACACACACAGCAATTTATTGAAACAAGACAATATGCTTTTTATAAATACATTAAAAAATATATATCACAAAGTTAGGGTGGGCAAGCATTCCGGTTTTTCAATGTGGCCCCTTTGCAGAATTAATTGCCCACCCCTGCTCTATACGGAGGCCAATACAGAACCTTCATCAACACTAATTGACAATCAAGACATGCACACTTAGAATTTGTAACTGGCCACATTATTTGGGGAGCAGTAGCTGGTCCCTAAGGAGTTGGGTTTTGGAACAGGAGTGTCGCAAAAATAGAAATTGCAACTATCTGTTGGAGTGACACTAGTCTGAATGAGTTTGAATCTGTTGAGCATGCCCTCACTGCTACTAAGTGCAAGAAAAATCTGCTCAATTCCCCCTTGGAATTGCATGTGCAAACTGAGATATGTTGGTTACGAAACTAAAAATCCGAAGAATGAATTGAGGACTATCATTCTATTTAGGAATGTACGTAAAAGCATTTATTAGTAATCTCCAGATACCATGCAAATGTCTTTTAGCTCACCGTAGCAACTTGGATTTAAAATGGATACTGTCAAATCATTGCTGCTAATCCTAACTCTTCAAAAAAGAAAATTCAATGGCATATTTTCTAATGTCGTGAAACTTGTAACTTTTGCCACACCCCACCCTTTAAAAAAAATACATACAAGTTTCACAACCTTGACAAGAGCTTGATTCAGTGACTCACAGGACCTTGTAATCAGCTGACCGACTTGGCCCAAGTCTCCAGGGTATGAGCGAAACACAGAATACAGACAAGGGAATCCCCAATGTACACCTTCTGAATTAATCTGGGAACAACCCATTGTAAATTTCTGTGATTACAGTACGTCCTTTGATAAACCCTGTGGTCAAACATGTCTTCCACTTGTCTCCTCTACTATTACTGAATAGATGCACAAGTCCGTTCATGACAGCTCCCGGCACAATATTAAATATTGGAATAAAAACACAAGCATATACAATAACCTGAAATACACAGAAGATGATGGAATCTTGGGGTGAGGATCACATTTTTGTTTTGTTGACTGTCACTCTGTTAGTTAGCAATCTAATTTGTGGTTCAAACATGGAGAAAGATTTCAGACGTTGTAGGGGAGTAGACACAATTCTAGTGAACCAAACAGCGAAAAGAGAACATACATTTCAAAACAGGGAAGCTCCGTTATTCATTGGGATAGGAACTGAACTCTGCTGGGAACATGGAGTAAGTGATGGTTTATAAATCCTGGATCCTGCCAGGATTTTTTTCTCTCCTGGGGCTAAGGGCAGGGCTTAAGGAATAAGTGGGGAGGGAGGGGGCGCCGTTTAAAAAAAAAAAAAAAAAAAAAAAAAAAAAAAAAAAAGACTTATCTTACTTGAGAGGTTGTCTCGCATTTTCAATGTAAGTCTGATACAGTACTCACCAAAAGCATGTTCCGATGGAAGCATGGAACCGCCAATGCCGAGTAAACATTTTTCGCTGACTCGTTTGAAAGTATTTCCAAATGACCTTCAAGGGAATTAATAATATGTAGACTAAATGGCGAAAACATCACATTTTTTTCCCATAATGCCACAGGGTATTGATTGACACAGACAAGAGAAAATAAAAGTTGTTTTTAGCATTTGGCCTACATTATACCAATAAGTTAAACAAATAAGCATTGTTTAGTACTAAATTTTATGGTTTTATTATTATGTCTGCAGTGCATAATTTCCATTATGCATTTTTCCCATTAATACCAGAGGGCATTGACCTGCACATGCCCATGGAGGGGAAAAAAATGCAAGGTCTTCAGCATTTGCCTTATTTTGTTTTTTAAAATGTTCTAAGGTACTTTGCACATACGTCCGAATGAGTTTGCAAATACGTTTGAATGCGTACTAACTCTTACCTAACGCCCCTCCCTGCCCAAACAAACACACACGGGTTACAGCTGCAGCACAAACACGGGACTAGCAATTGTATTGGAACAGAATGGCTGCTGGTGAACTTTTTAATTGTTTAAAAAATAAATAAATAAATAAATAAATAAGTAAGTAAGTAAATTGCTGGGGGGCTTAACGGGGGCTAGACAGATTTCGGTCCTTCTCGCACCGGTGTAGAGCCATGCATGGCAGCAAAGCACTATTGTTGCCTAATTGAAAATAACTCCTCAACTCATGTCAATGTAGTCCAACGGTACCAAAATGTTGGCGGCAGAGCAATATTAACATAATATGTTCAAAAACTACAACATAAACCGTTTGCAACAAGTAAAACCCTTTGCAAAAAGGATTTATGAATCCTGACAAAACCCAAAATGCATTTCATTTGCAAGCATTTGCCGCTCAGTGAGATACAAGCTGAAAGAAGCTCCTCGGTTTATTTCAACAAGTTCATAGCATGAATGGGAGTGCTTGTCCCTCAGCATTCCCATGATGAGGATTGACCCGCAACCTGCCACTATTGCACTTCAACGCTAAAAAAAGTCCACGCACTCAGACGCTTCTTAACGCCGATGTCCATGAAGCTTTTGCCACGGGCATTTAAGAGTCATGATGATGACTAATTATGGCAAATTAGACCCACTGGAGAGCTGACCTCCTTTAAGCACTCATAGATAATCAGAAACTCTGTCTTTATCCGAGCTTCACAATTGCACCAGATACCCAGAAATGAGGAGATAAAAAAATATTTATTAAAAAAAAAACAAAAACAAAAAAAACAGAGTGCTGTGTCAAGATTACACAGTAACGCAGCTGATTTGTGACAGATCACAATAGTTACCTCATCCCTGAGTGACTAATAAAACGCATTTTGCATGGTGCAGAAAATTTACATGTATGCACAAATAATCCTTGACAGTAAGGTTTTATTAGGCTTTACTTAACACTTACACCAGGCTCAACTAAAAAGTTACAAAGCTTCTGTGAGATCAAGGTAGCATTGTTGGGGCTTTTTTTGTGCTTTTTTTCCTCTCAGGGTGAAATACATTTTAGCCACAATTCTTTTTAATAAAATTAAGAACACCAAAGCTTTCCGACTTCTCTCTGCAAGTCCCTAACCACAACAAAGGCCAGTTTATTGGAAATGTGCCTCAACCAACTGCGTGCCCAAATCTTAATCCAGCAACGTGCGCACAAATGTTATTGCAACACAGAACGTGAATCCAGACATCTGGTAATTCATTACACAAGGCTCACATGAAACAGCTGTGCCTTTATGTCAGCATTTAGTCTGCTCTGGACAAGGGCAATATCCACAGTGCCAGTAGCATGAAGATTTTCAACAGTAAGTGTCAAACACTATAATGTGCATTAAGCAGGGGAACTCCACTGATTTTACACATAATGGTCAAGTTGCAAGTCACAAGAACTGCTCTGGCTGTGCAAAAGTATCTGGAAATTGTTTTAGGATAAATAAAACACTCAAAAGTCCATTGGAACTTTCAACCACATCTCCACAAAATCAGTGAAAAAACAAAGTGCAGCAGAACACACTTAGAAAACACAAGAAGGTGGGCCCTTTTTTAAAATGCCAATTATAAAGTGATGTCATCCGGGCCGCCCAGACCTACAGGCTACACATTTAGAAAAGTAAATATGCTACTAACTGAGGGCATGGCTGTAAAGTAAAAGACTGTTTTCCAGGTGTGCGGGTGGAGGGGAGGAGGCAGCCAGATGATGCCTTCAGG